TAGCATATGCCACACCCCCTGACATCACCGGAAGTGTGTCCTCCCCACAGCCGGTGGCGACCTCCAGCGGGCACCAGCAGGGAGCTCCAGGCCCCGCCCTCCCGCACCTCACCCGGGGGGATGGCGTCCCCCCGCGTCCCCCCCCCAAATGACCCCTGCCAGAGAGCCCTTGGCTGAAATCCCCACTCTGCCATGATACTGATTTGACAGTCTTGGCTATTTCAGAGGGATAGCAGTACTGCAAAACAAAACAGAAGTCCATTGAGGCCTTAAAGATTATCACTATTTATTCCAGCATCAGCCTTCATGAGTCAGAGCTCACTTCCTCAGATTAAAAAACTCATGCTGGGAAAATGTTGTTTGTCTTTAAGATGCCATTGGACTTCTGTTGAATAGTGATAACATCTTGCAGCCTAATCTACTCAGAGGATTTGTTATGAGGAACTGGAGAGACCATGTATGTCATCTTGAGCTCTGTGGAGGAAAGACACGATTAAAAAATAAGAGGGAATGGCTCTTCTAAGACGGTAAAAAGGAAAGGGGAGACACCTCTGACAACTGGAAATAAATTTTTAAAATATATTTTTTCACTTTGTGTACATGTAATCCTACTGACTGGTTTGTATTTTACTTTTGTTATTAAAGATGTGTGTTTATGTATATTCTCTCCTTCTATTATGACTGATAGAAACTGTAAATTTTATATTTCTTTTGGTGGAATGTGGAAACGTATATAGTACTTTGGTTGTAGTTGCTGATTTTCTGTTTCTTACAGATTAACAAGACTGAATGTTTATTATGCAAAGTAGTTTTTGAAGAAAATATCAAAATGGAACAATAAGCCTCTGAACCATTAGTTTCTACTGTGTTTATACTGTTTACACATTGGCTATGATCAGACGTGTAGTTTAATCCGTTGCCATTGCTGTACCCTTATGGATTTAAAATGCACGATCAGACAGAAACATCTATCTGTTGTGCCCCAGTTGTCTGTGTCCTACCCCCCCCACACACACACACACACTGTGTGTTTATTTGATACCTGTGAAAGTCTGGCCCTTTTTGGCTGAGCTGGTTTCAAACTGGACTTCCTGTTGTCTGATCACTCTGTTGTGCACCCAAGCTGTCAGGCAGGTCTGACTGGTCTCTTTTCAGCTGCCACTTTTTTTACTAGTTAGAAAAGTGTGCTCAACTGCATGTCCACACCTCTCTCTCTCCGCCCCCAAGGGGCTGCTCTAAACTTTGTTTTCTTCATAAATACTTTCAAATAAAAACTCCCCTGTACTTCTGCTTTTTCCTGTGCTTTGGGGAAGGGGTAAATTGAAAAGTTTAGAGAGGGAGACTATACGTCCCAGCAGGTTGATCAGCACTTGTGTGCATGCCCAGTGGACTAACTTTTTAAAAAATGGCCAATGGCCCCATGAATTACATATCCCAGGAGGCATAGCAGTGCATGTTCAAGGGAGAAACTATTTTAAAAAATGGCCAACAGCAACACTCCTTGGTTGCTGGGTTTGATATGCATCTGATCGCTCAAGAACGGGGCAAGAGTGCTTTGAAGAGTGCTTAGAAGGATCAGTATTCTCTGTTCCAAAATACTCTGGATCAATTAGAGGTGGAGCAACAGCAAATTAAAATACACGTCTGACAGCACCCATTGACTGTTTTGGACTGCTATGTTTTCTTTTCCGGGAGTTTTCATAGTAGTTATCTTATATTTACAAAAGGACTGTCCTTGTCTTTTTGCTGTTATCAATACAAATGGTATTGTGCCTTTTTGTAATGTCCTCTAAAATGGTGCCAGCCATCCACTATATTGTGCGAAGCATAATTTTAAAAAAAATTAACTGCTCTCTGATTTAGTTGATAAAAAATTAGCTGACTAAACATTAAGATCCTAGTAAAAAGTATTTTTAAAAAATATACCACTGCAAAATAATCCCACCCCAAGACTAAAAAGCAGCTATAGAATACTAAATTTCTGAAGTCTGTTAGTTTTAATTTCTGTGTTAAAATGTAATCTGGAAATCCTTATCTGATAATTATACAAAAAAAGTCTCTTTTTTTAATACAAGCAAGTTTACAGATTTTATGGAGGCAATATAGGCAAACAACTTCAGATAATAACCAGTGCCAAAATTGATTTTCATCTAGGATTGGGGTTTTCCCCTTTAATAAGCTCTCATTAAAGATTGGGAAAGTCTCCTCTCATTCAGAAGGCCCTAAAGGATCATGTTTTCTTTTGTTTCTATGCAGAGTACACTGTAAACACATACAACCAAAGTTCTCTAAGCTGGCCTCAAGTGGAGTGCTTCAAGCAGTTGCTACAAGACATATGGCTATGCCCTGATTAGTGCAGGAGATGGGATACCACCTTAAGATGGCCTTATCAATAACCTGTTGGAGCCCTGTACCATGCTGACAGATGGTGCAATAAATATGAAGAAACATACTGTTTTCAGGGTATGTGCCTTCAGTTTATGGACTTTGATTAATATACTATTTCCTTTTTAAAAATAATAAGAACTGTCCTTCTGCCTGGTTCAGAAGGAGAACAGGCAATGCCAGCCAAACATCTTTTTTGTTTTTTAAACAACTGTATTTTTTCATTGCAAGATAACTGCTTCACTCAGACCTTCCTGGTTTGTTTAATGAAGACTGAGACAAGAACTCCTGTTCCCAGCGATCACTGATGTAGGAAATTTTGTCACTGAAGTTGTACCTGATGGTGGCCAATGGTAAGAACCTTTTTCAGAAGCCACCCTTGCAACAACAAAAAAGGGTCTGCAGGAATACACACTGAACTGCCACTGAAGAAGCTCCAGTGTTCATTTCTTGATGGCTCCAGATTGAGTTCCCAGATCCCATCAGATTCTGGGATAGTATGCTGTTTTATTTGGATTATTTCAGACTAGAAGTTGGAGACCCCTTAATTACAGTATTCTCTCCCTGCCATAGTTTTTCCTATACTATATATGCAGATGTTTGTTATAATAACATAATTCAGAGGATAATTCAAATGAATCATAACCGCTAGTGTTCTCTGGTGTCCATTTACCTGCTGGCTGAAGTTAGTGCAGCTAGCCTTTGAAGTAGTATAAAGAATGTATTAACACAGAGAGATCATATCAAGAATATTCCCAGTGCTTCCGGCATGTACAGTGCGAGTGGGCAGCATAGCATTTGCCTGTGTGCCTCCTCCGTGTTCTTTTAAATGCTGTTTCCAGAGATTACACATTTCCCCTACCTAATTAGACCTCCCAGTGTCCAGCTTAGCAGAAAGGGTCTTTAAACTGCCTGCATTTGCTGACTGCATGGGACTGGAGACCGAGAAAGCTATTTTCCAAAAGGGGCTTAGGGCAGGCATGCCATTGAAGCTGCTGAAAGTCACCATCTGATTTACAAGACTGGATCTTCCGGCTACTTGAGCCTGACGCTGAGAGAGGCCTGTCTGATTGTTTCTTTTTCAGGAAGTGGTGAGTCAAGGTTTCTGTAGCTCAAGCTGGACAAAAAAGAAAAAAAGGTACATGGAGTAAACGGGATCAATAAGCCTGCAAAGGCGGACAAGAAGGGATCTCACAATAGCCAGTGTAGTGTAGCTGCTGGTGTTGGAGGAAATCATTCAGTCATGAAGCTCACTTGGGCCAGTCATTCTCTCTTATGTTGTGATCATAAAATGCGGAAGGGGAGAACCATGAATGATGACCTGAGCTCCTGGTATGAAAGGTGGGATCAAAATGCAATTGTTATTCTCCTGGATCGAGGAAGGGCCAATCAGTGCTTCATGGGGGGGAAACTAAGAGTTACATCCGAGAATGCATAAAAGACGTAGCTCTCCAGGGCATTCACTTCTGCAAACCTTATAAACTGCTATGTAATTTTTGAAATGACCATCAGAGAGAGAAACTAAACTGTGCAGAAGCCAAACTACATAGAAAACAGTATGCGTGAAGTGGTTCGGCTGACCACATTTTAAGGTGGCATCAACCAGCAGTGTAGTCAAAACCATCCAAATCCAGATGGGATCCACTGTAGACAAACTGCTTCACATGTTGTTCATGCTCCATACAGGTTGGGATCTTGTGGTTCTACAAGTCAGCTACCTATCAACACTTTATTGCTGAGATGAGGAAGGGTCACCCTGTTCTTCTTGCTGCTGAACTTACCAGGCAAGGAATTCCACTACAGATAACACTTACATGGTTCTGAGAGGCAGAGATAGCCAAGATCTTCTGTCTCATGGTCTTTCAGTTCAACAGGTCTCTCTTTGATGTGGTCATCACATTCCACTACAACAATTAACTGCAAAAGAGACAAGGTACAAAAAAGATAAGATTAAGGTTATGATTCAGCGCAAGTTAGTGAAGGGATAATTTAATGTGATGTATAAGGATTGTGTTTGTATTTATGCTTTGTTATGGCCAATGGCTAATACAATAAACTTGATGATGACAAGGTACAAAGGCCTAGTGAGAGCCAGAGTCATATCTACTTAAAGGCTATATGTGCAGGATTTACTGAAACGTATGGAAGTTGCATAACTAACAGACTAATCCGGAACAGAGTTTTGCTCTTCTACATCTATTGAAGTTAATGGGCTTAGATCACCTTGGATTCCTACTAGCAACCGTTACAAAGAGACTTGCACAACAGCCTCAAGCTATACTAAGTTTACAGCATGCCCTCAAACACCTCCAGTTGCAGAAGGCCCATATTGTAAAACTCATATGAACAGTGCTGTACAAACATTTCCCTCTTTCCTACTGAGTTTCTTCAACATTAAAAGAACTTCTCAAGCCCTGATTTCTATGCCTCAACCTGCAGAGGGGAGGTGGCTGGTGGCTGGTGACTAAAGACGGGGCTTTTTCAGTGGCAGCACCTTGCCTTTGGAATGCCCTCCCCATTGAGACTCACCTGGCACCCCTTTTCCTTTAGGCATCGGGCCAAAACATTTCATTTTACCCAGCCTTCTTTCCATCATTTTTAGCTGTGCCTCTATCCTGAGGACTGTTTTATGACTATTATTGTAGGCTGCTCATCATTTGCTTCATATAATTTTTATGCCTTTCATTCTTTTCAATGGCTTCTTGGATGGTTTTGGTGCTTTTTGCTCCCTTTTTTAAGGTGTTGGTATATTGATTATACCAATTTCCACCAATTCCTCCCTCAGGACTTGGGAAAGCCCCCTCAAACAGGTGCCAGTACTCATTGCCAGTGAGTACCATCACAAAAGAATCCCTGGAGGACTTGCATACCCCTGAACTGGTGGGTCATCTAGTTCCAATTCTCCTTTTTTCTGACAATGCTGTTCTACTTTCTCCCTCAGCAGTGGGTATGTGGCGGGTCTTAGCAACCTTTTCACTCTGCTGTGCTGCCAAATTTCTCCAATAAATTCTCATAAATCCGAAGTGATGATTTTTTTTTCTAAATCTAAACAGCACCATCCATTGTCCTGGCCCCTTGATAATCATTAGCTCAAGCAGGACTACTCATTTAATTACCTACATGTAGTGTTCCATGCCTCTCTCTAATGGATTCCATATCTTAGCAAAAACTAGGTCCAACATGGCAGCTGTCCAAAAGATTTGTCTTCTTTCTTGGTGGACAACATCTTCCATCAGCTTTACAGGTGTTTCAGGCAAAAATTACAGCCCAACTCTCATGGGAGTCCCCATCTGGATCTAAGCTTTGGGGTCCAATATGGAAAATATCCAACCATCTTTTCTTCAAGCACTGTTTGGTAATCCCAGATCTATGTCATCAACAGTTCCTTGATTAGAAGCTGGTACAAAAAGCAGGTAGAGAAAGAGGTACTTTTCTCCCTTTCTCACAATACAAGAACTCGTGGGCACTCCATGTAATTGCTGAGCGGTCGGGTTAGAACGGATAAAAGGAAGTACTTCTTCACCCAAAGAGTGATTAACACATGGCATTCACTGCCACAGGAAGTGGTGGCGGCTACAAGCATGGACGGCTTCAAAAGGGAATTAGATAAGCATATGGAGCAGAGGTCCATCAGTGGCTATTAGCCACAAGGTATAGATAGGGACTCCGGGGCAAGTGATGCTCTGTCATCTTGGTGCTTGGGGGGATCAACAGTGGGAGGGCTTCTAATGTCCTGGCCCCACTGATGGACCTCCTGATGGCACTGGTATTTCTGGCCACTGTGTGACAGAGTGTTGGACTAGATGGGCCTTTGGCCTGATCCAACATTGGCATCTCTTATGTTCTTATGTTCTTAAAACAGCTCACCACTACTGCTTGGTTTGCTGCCATAAAATTCAGATTAGTTTTACATCTCTCAGAATCTCTTCTGCCGCTTTTGCTCTGGTTGTGCTCTGATTCTTTCGTTAGTGCTTGGAGCCAGCTGTTGGACTCCAAAATTGCATAACTAGGTTTTTCTATTCCAGGCTTGAATGAGCGAGGGCTTATTAAAGCTTGTATTTTGATTTTTTAAAAAAAATGTTGAATTACTCAAAGGGGAATATCTTATAACAAATGCCAAACAAATTTGCTCTCTATTGCATTTGGGCTTTATGGACTCAACATCTTTGCCAAAAAAATAAGTATCTTCACTTTCTTAGTGTTCCCTCATACCACTATTTTTTCTCCTTGGCCTATTTTAATACACTACCAATTTTAGACCTTTCCAACCTTTAGGCCTTTTCAATTTTAGGTTTTCCAACACCCCACATGGCCAAAGGATTTGTCCATGTGGGCTTCAGGTCCCTGAAACCATAACATGCTTTTTCTTATCATGCCATTTCCTATGGTAGTTCAAGAGCTCTCCTAATAACCCCATTTCTTGTAACAGTCTCCAACTATTCAGATGATTATCACATACTGTTCTCTCCTGTCTGTGAATGAAATTTGCACGATTTTGGCTATTGCCAAATATATTTCAGCTACTCTTAAAATTCAAACAATCACAATTAATTCAGTTGTCAGGATAATCAAGAAGCAAGTCTGTTGACTTTTCAATGAATTTTAATTTAGCCTGTTTTTTTAAATGAGAGCCAGTTTGGTGTAGTGGTTAAGTGCGCGGGCTCTAATCTGGGAGAAACGGGTTTGATTCCCCACTCCTCCACTTGCACCTGGCTGGATGACCTTGGGCTAGCCGTAGTTCTGATAAGAGCTGTTCTTGAAAAAGAGGAGTTTCTGTCAAGAGCTCTCTCAGCCCCACCTACCTCACAGGGTACCTGTTGTGAGGAGGGGGAGGGAAAGGAGTTTGTAAGCCGCTCTGAGACACCTTTGGGTAGTGAAGGGCAGGGTATAAATCCAGTCTCTTCTCTTCTTCTCTTCTCTTTTAAAATTTGTGCATTTCCCTTCTTTTAAATTCAGGAATAATATTTTTTCCTTCATATATTAACTTTTTATTTTTGACCTAAAAGTTAATGTGCAACATTGACTTTCTAGACTAAAATAATGGCTTGTTTGATTTGATTGTATTGTTTTAGCTGCAAGCTACCTCTGGAGAGGTGATACATACATTTTCTAAATAAATTAACATATCCTCCTTTCTTTCACCTTAGAATTTCACAGTTTTGGATTCTATCAGCTGCAACTAGTCACTTCACAAAACACATCTGTACAACATCAGGCAAAGCGAATGCCCATGACAGAACCAACAATGAACACGCATACCACAACAGATTAGGCTAAATTTGATTTATTGTCTCAGTCCACTATTTAGATATTTAATTAACCTCTGTACTCAATGAAAATTATGTTAGCAGCTGGGATTAACTGTAGCAACAGCTGATGCAGCCTCATCAGTTCCACATGGGTGTGAATGCACAAGCTGACTGCGGTTCTAACACACACTTCTCCTTTGAGGAACTCTATAGGCATTTACAAATGATGCATTCCACCTATTGCCCAGCAAACTGCAAACAATGCAAAGGCAGCTTTACCCTGACAGGGAAAGGTACACAGTTGGGTCCCCTGTGAAACATAATGAGTCGCATAAGGAGATCTCAGTTGGGTCATTTCTCATTCCCTGTGCTGCATTCCTTAGCTGCCCAAATAAACAAAGCTATCCCTGATACAAAGGCATTCCCACCTCCTCAGATCCAAAGATCCCCTGGCAGTATGCAGAACACTTGGACTGCAATTCTACCCCTTGCCATGCATGCAAAAGCCTCCTGACCCGGATGGGAGCAAGCAGGCATAACTGGTTGCAGGACTGCAGCCTGGGTCTCTAGGGAACGAAGCCCCGTTTCCATCCCCACTGGGAGAACCAGTCACTGATATCCCATGTCATTACGTTGGTATTCCCTAATTTAGAACACATCCCTCCAACTGTTGTGTTCAGAGCTAACAATAACACCATCTCCTGCTTGCAACACATTCGGGCAGCTGTGAACTCGGAAGGATAGCATAGCAGTGAGGTAAGAGGAACTGGGCTCCGTAGCAAAGTGCTTGATGACCCCAGTGGTTATTTAATATACTAAAGATGTGAATTATGTGCCTGATAATCTCAAGTGGATCCCTAATGTCCTTTGATCCTTCCCACTTCTCTCACCACTTCACATTTCTATGGAATTACCAATGGATCGTTGCTTGTGGGCTTCGTGTTCTCCCTGTCAGCGCCGCCGCTGCCTCTGGCATCTTTCATTACTTCTGCACAGGGATCCTTCTTGCAAAACCTCTGCTGTCGACTGTGAAAGAAAAAGCTCACAGAGATAAAATGCCCTCTGGAGGAAGGGACACTGCCCAGGCAATTCGGTGCAAAGGCCTTATTTGTTTTGACAGCTGAACTCTGCTTCACCGTTACAAAACTGAAATCACAGAGGAGGCCCCATCCTGTTCCAGGCAGCAGTGCCCAAGCAGTACAGTAAAGCTCTGCTGAGCCATACATGAAGGAGTAGCAAGGATTCTCATGAGGTTATGAGGCGGTGAACACTAGGCCACGTCACACTAAAAAACACTACTAGCTGAACAGCTTACAAGTACGACCGTGAGTGGAACTGTGCCCTTGGAAGTCCATCGAAGTCAACGGGCTTAGAAGGGGATAACTTGGGTCAGGACTGCACAGTTAGGAAAGCACCTATTTTTCAAATGTGCCGTGCTCAGACTGACAGTTACATGTTAGTCATACCTCTTGCGCACCTATGCCCAGTTACAGAAGTCACAGCATGTCTGTCTGGAGGTACAAGGGATGAGGAGGAGGATGCTGTTCTCGTTTTTAATTAATAATTCATCTTCTTAAAAAAGGCGGGCTATAGGTGCTCCGGAATAAATCGAATACTTTGCATTTATATAGGACCTTCAGTGTTCAAAGTGGTTCATGTACATTGGCACAGTAGGACAGCCCTGAAAGTTAGCTGACTATTATAAAAACATTGCAGATGGGGGGGGGGTGTGGAAGCTGAGAGAATGCAGCTTGCCTAAGACACCACAAACTTTAGCTCACCTATTTTACCGCTATTCCGGTGGTGTAAAGCGCCCTCGTGCCACAGCAGACTTAGAGTAACCCTGTGGGGTTTTCAAGGCAAGAGATGTCCAGAGGTGGTTTGCCACTGCCTGCCTCTGCATAGTGACCCTGGAATTCCTTGGTGGTCTCTTATCCAAATACTAGCCAGGGTGACCTTGCTTAGCTTCAAAGATCTAAAAAGATCAGACTAGCCTGGGCCCACGGGTCAGGGCACCACTATACTATGCCAATAAAAAAGTTCAAAACCAGAGACCTCTCTGCTCTAATAACTACCCATGGCATTGACTTGTGAAATATGGTATGTCCTTCCTTCATCTGGGCCCCAGTCCAAGGAAGACTAAGTCATGACTACAGAAGGGTGACCTGGTAAATTCAAAGTAATGTGAAGCCTAATCCCATAAATGTTTACAGAAGGCCAGACTGCTGGTTTCAGTGAGGCACACCCTCAAATAATTGTGCATAGAATTAAGTGTGATTTGCTCTCTCTGGATTAGCACCATTTGGTTTACTTCCATTGCTCCTGTCCCTCAGCCTAGATACACAAAGGTGCTCCATCTGAATTAAAGTAGAACTGATTTATTTTATAGTGTTGCTTGTAAGGATGATCAAGATGATGTGTGTGAATTACTGTGGACAAGCAGAAAACATTATATAATTATTATTACTTTTTAAACATATTTATTAACTTCAATGACACAGAGGTTTACCCTTCCACACTCTACATGATAAATGTTCTGAACAAGTAAATATAGTTAAGGGGAGGAAGGAGAGATTGAAGGAGGTCTTATAAAAAGCCTCATGGCAGCAGCTTGTTAGTTTTTTTCCCCTTTAATTCCTGCAAGCCTCACATTAAAGGGCAATATGAGTTTATGTTTTATGGATGAAGAGAAGGTCTTTTACTGACCTGCTCATGGAACTTAATCAATATGTCTTAAAATATAGCCAAGTAGGAGTAAAAATGAAATAGCAACTCTAATCCAAATATTGGTTTCTGGGCTCCTGTTAAAGGGGGATTTAGATCAGTGGTTTCATCTTGATGGTGTGGGGCTACTAATAGCTGTAGTACAAACCTAGCCAAGCATGTAATTGAAAACTTGCTTTCAGAATAAACAGCTCTATTGATCAAAACCATTTGGAAAAGGAGGAAAGTAAATCAGGGCAAAACTATGACTCTTTTTTAAACGTTTGGGTTTTAAATGGGAATAGGTCGTCACAAAAAAAAATAAATCAATAAGAGTCCGTGAATCAAGGAGCCCTAATTATAGAAGCCACCAATAGTTCCCGTGTTGCTAACATGATCACTTTAATGCGAGATTTGAAAGCTCTGTCCCCTGTATTTTCCCTGTAAGTTCACTTGGGAAGTGGGAGAAGAACAAGCATCTGCAATTGACTTTAAATGGGGAGTTCCAAACCATATGACAGAATCCATGAACTACAACTTCAGCATTTCCAGATATCAAATCTGTAGGTAACCACAACGATCTGTTACCAAAATGCAGAACAGTGACATGACCAATTAAATGTCACCAAATTGTGACCAAGCTTTTGATATCCCCTGAGTTCTTCAAAAGGTGGCTTTTTAACAGATGATCAGAACTCCCTACAATTTTTGTCACTCCTGAGAAATTTAACTGTACAAGTGGAGAAAACTACTTCTACCTAATAACAGGACTTTGCTTATGGAGAGTCCATACCCCACTAGATAACTCTACTCAGTTTGGCTTCTATTGTGTCTAGCTAAAATCCATCTCCAGTTTTGTTAACAGAAATACTACTACATCTGCAATCAACCTTACAAAAGATTGGTGTGTTCTGGTTAGCACACGAGAAAGGCCCAAATTACTGATAGTTGTATGTTTTCTAAAGGACAGCTGCCATTCCTTTGAAGTTTGATACAGTTGAGTTGTGGGTTGTTGTTTTTTTTGCAAGTGGTAAAACTTAAAACTAAATCTGCATAATCCAGTGTTTTCTCTGAGGACCACTGAAATCTACAATTGTCTGGATTTTCCCATCATGCCTAGCAACATCATTTTCTACACCACCACCCACTTTTTGGTTTTGATTAACAGCACCACCCTATTGTTGATTTCTGAATATTTACCAACACGCAGTCTAAATACTGCACATGCCATAAATTGGGAAGGAACAACTGGAAGCCCAATCTGTCCTCAAGATGCTTTCCATCTGGCCCCTGGCACAGCCCTTTATTCCAAGGACCTTCCCCCACACCCATCAGCCAGTTTTTAAGCGCTCTTTGCCAGTTAGAAACTTGGAATGAGAAGCTGACATGCTTTTTAAGGAAAGAGATCTGCCAAAGTAGGTTTTGCCAACATAAAATTTAAAAAAAAAAGGAAATTAAAAAAAAATTGGTACCTGGGAAAAGCCTGAAGCTGACATCCCAGACTGGTGAAGCCGGGCAGATGGAGGATCGAGGAACTGAGCCCAGTGGTTTTTCTGGCAGATTTCAGCTCCAAGCCCAGCAGATTCTGGTGGGTCTGGGGTTGAGCCCAGTACAAAAACTCACAGCTGAAACTGAGTACTGTAGCTCTGACTTTCACACATCAAGGGGAATACATTGCCTTGGAGTCTAATTTAGAAACATAGACTGGTGCCTCTGTATTCCAAGGGATACATACTCTTGTGTACATTTTGTGCTACATGTACCTAGAAAAGTATACACTGATCCAATGATCCGAGGGTGCATCTGAAATGCTGTGATGATGCCATCATTCATACGAGAGCTTTTTATATTATCAATAACATGCTGGGGAGGGCACAGTTATTTACAATCAAAAGGGAAGGATTGTAGCTGAGTAGTAGAGCATCCGCTTGAGGTGCAGAAGGCCCCAAGTTCTATCCCCAGCATGTCCAGTTAAAAGATCTGGCAGGAGATGATGTGAAAGACCTCAACCTGAAACCCCAGAGATCCGCTGCCAGTTTGAGGAGACAATACTGACTTTGATGGAACAAGGGTCTGATTCGGTATAAGGCAGTTTCATGTGTTCATGTGAAATCTATCATGAGAGTTCATGGGGGAGGGAGCTCTAGAGAACATACTGGAATTCATCATTCCAAGGTAAATTATCTGGCACCGACACACCCTCCCGGCATGATTATAGTAAATGACAAGCAAAATACATTTTTAAAAGCGGCCGTAGAAATAACAAAAATCTCAAACACAGAAACTCAGATATGCTTTTCAGGCAGTTCTACCTGTAGCAGTAGACAGCTCCAGCTCCAAAGAGAAGGACCAGGAGTAACAGAGCCGAGCTAAAAGCAGTCGTGAGATTCCGCTTCTTGGTTTGCTTCACATGTTGCTGTTCCCACCACTCCAAGTCGCTGAACTGACAGCGCTCTCCCAAGTAGCCTTTTGCACAGCTGTCAAAAAACAAGTGAAGCGAATACTGTAGCCAATAATGGAAAGAACAAATGTCACCATGTTGGCATGACTTCATCCACTGTAATCCTTAGGAAACTGTCATATTTGGGATCATCCAGAACCATGAAGAACACTTGCTTCGATAGGAAGTGAAAACTTACTGGACTAAAGCTGTGCAAGTTATTTGGGGGTTTACAATAATTTGGATTTTTTAAAGATTGGTTTTGATTGGGCTGAAATTCTTATTTTAGGGTGGATTTAAAAAAAATTCAGAATCTTTCCCAGCATGTTGTGCACAACTTGCCCACAATAGATAGAGATTCTCAATTCAGCATTGTGTTAGACTTGGCATTTAATAATAAACAAATCATTTTTAACTCTCTGTATGAAAATATATTTCATTTACAGGTTTTTTAAAAAAATATTTGCAAGTTTATTTAATAAAGAGCATTTATTCAGTTCTCTAAATGAAAACATCATATTTTATTTATTTGTAAATTTTATTGGCAAATCTATTTAATGAAGATTTGTTTCATCAAAAATTCTAACCCATTTTTATACTTAATTATTAAAAAATGTCATTCCAGCTCATATGGAATAGAATGACATAACCAAAAGTATTAAGTGAATTTAAGTATTCAGTTCAGCCTTCTTTTGCTGTGCTTATGTGGTTCTTTTGATCAGGGTCAGTAAGCACAGGGTAAGACCTTGGTGTGACCAGTTTTCACCATGCTACATAGGAAAGGCTACAGTCAACTGCAAACTGTGGATAAAAATGAAGCTAGAAGCATTTTAAATTTACTTTTCTGGACAACAGACAAGGGTAAGTTTCAGCAAACTGCGGAAGCGGAACTACTACTCATTGTATTCAGAAGTATAACTACATAATTTTTTTAATCTCCTGGTATGGTTTGTATCATCATTTAATAAACCTGTATGTTGACAACTAAATGCAGGTCATATATTTTGACATACAATGGAGATCCTACATAAGGCATAGTAACCACTTTGTATCTTGAACCCAGAATAGAATGAGTATGCTTTGTTCATGGATGATGAAACACTGCCACCTAGTGTACAATTGTAAAAACAATAACAATAAGGGAAAAGCCACACATTTTAAACATACGCATGTGAATCTGGGTCAGCATATGGAATGGCTTATACCTACAGCATGCAGCAAAAAGGATACAAAGACATACCTATAAAAGTGTTTCATAACAAAGGGGAAATACATAGACCTACATTACACAGAGCCAACCAGGTGTATTGGTTTATGTAGGGCTAGGATCTAAAAATCTGATAGCTGGCTTGATAAGGCAGGTATAATTTTTAAATAAATAAATAAATAAATTTAAAAGCCACATTTTAAAAAATCCTAGATGGGGCAAACCAACGCATTAGATGGGATAAGTGCACTCAGTCACTTTTACCCTCTCTACCAACCTGCTGGCATGGCTTTAAGATAAGGTTTCCCTTGCTTGAAAGCCCTGACTCTGGGGGCAATGCTCATCACCATTTCAAAGCCGAAGAGCCAGCGCTGTCCAAAGACATTTCCGTGGTCATGTGGCCGGCATGACTAAACGCTGAGGCTCATGGAACAGTGTTACCTTCCCACCGAAGCGGTACCTATTTATCTACTTGCAATTTCTTGCTTACGAACTGCTAGGTTGGCAGGAGCTGGAGCCAGAGATGGGAGCTCACTCTGTCATGCAGCATTAGGGTCTCAAACTGCTGAGCTACAGACCTTCCAGTCTGCAGCTCAGCTTCTTAACCTCTAAGCCGCCGCAGCTGCCTGGCTTTAAGATACTATACATTTATTTATTTCCTTCATGTATAAACCACCTTTACCCCAGTGGGGACCCAAATCAGCTTACACTGTTCCCCTCACCTCCATTTTATCCTCACAACAACCCTGTGAGGTAGGTCAGTCTGAGAGTGAATGGCAGGTCCAAGATCACCCAACAAACCTCCATGGCAGAGTGGGAATTCCAACTTGGATTGCCCAGATCCTAGCCTGACACTTTAAACCACTACACTATACTAGTTTTAGGAAATGGAAGGCCATGCATATGTGATTAGGCTGAGTTAAAAATTATCACTAAGCCACCCTGTTGAGTGAGTTCAGTACTTACTGGCATGCATGAACTTGCAGACTGGAAAAATAAACACAGATTCCCTCATGGAGACAGTATGATGATGGGCAGCCAACAGTACCATCTTGTGCAGACAAAGTGGACTCCTCACTGGTTGCTACAGTTGGTTGTATGACAGGTTCTGAAACACAGCATCGAACAAGATTTAAACCAGCTTGGGCAAACATGCAATTTATACTACAACCGAATATGGAATTTTCGTGGTAAATCCACTGGCACTGGTTGACGGAGAAGTGGCAACATCACAGAGCTTTCGCCAGCTGTCAGTCCCAGAATGCTTGTAATCCAGTTTCTAGGAGCAAAGAGGAAGGGGTAGCCCAGCAGGAACGAAAACCTGGCATATAACCTGGAGGCAAGAACTGTGTATATACTACAAGACTGACAAAGCCCTGAGGGGAAATGGCCAAATAACTAGGCAATGAGCCTCAGACAAAAGCAATACAATACACAGAAACTAATCACTGTAACACAACACAGTACAAACTTTCAAGTTCTCCAGAACTCTTCGTCAGGTTGGATTGGGAAGGGGATCTCTCATAAAGTTTGTGTTTGTGATTCTTGGCTGACTTAGGTCCCTTGCACACAGGTTGTTTACCTCAGCTTGTTTTCTATGGGTAGCAGTAGCTTGGGCAAGGGATGACATTTCTGAATTGTATGATGTCTAATACTCTATGCATTGTTTTTGCTGTGTTTCATCTTTCCACAATCATAATCCTATTATGCACTGACCTGGATAGCCCAGGATAGCCCGATCTTGTCAGATCTCGGAAACTAAGCAGGGCTGGCTCTGGCTGGTATTTGGATGGAAGACCTCCAAGGAATACCAGGGTTGTGGTGTGCAGGCAGACAATACCAAACCACCACTGAATATCTCTTGCCTTGAAAAGCCTACAGGGTCACCATAAGTCAGCTGTGACTTGACGGCACTTTCCACCACCAGTCCTATTACATTGCTTATTACATGTCCTACCTTGTTGATTGCATTGACTTACACTGTGTAATCCACTTTGAGTCTCATTGTGAAAGGTGGTCTATAAATAAAATAACATTTTAAAATGGCAGCTGCCAGGGAACAGGCAGGGGAAATGTGGAGAAACCTGCTATGTGGAAACCCCATTGCTACTATGCTGTATCTGCAGACCCAGCAGCCATGGGGAAACCACACAAGCCCACCTCTGAACACTCTAACCATGGTTTAGATCCTATGCAGCATAAGTGGAGCTGCACTGCATAAACAGCAACTTTCTTGCCCCTCCCCCCTCCTGCTGTAGTCTTCTATGAGCCCCCTCCCCATGTTGCCTCCCAGGAAGACAATGGGAAGTAAAATGGGGGACCACAGTGAGAGAGGAGAATTGGGAAAAATTGCTCTCCATCATTTCTGTAAGCAGAGGCATCTAGGGTGAGTGGACAGGGGGGATTAGGATCCAATCCTGTGCTGTTTAGTGTCATTCTACATGCAGACAGATTTATTGATATACTAGGAATAAGACCCGCTGTGGAAATAAATACAACAAGCTTAAAAAGAAGCTCTGGGCAGGTGCCCCGGCCTTGGGCACTCAGCATCAATTTGCTGTGGTGATCTCAGCAGAACATAATGACACAGAGTGCACTGTTTTCTCCAGGAAAACTGATCTCTGTCATCTGAAGAACAGTTGTAATTCTGAGTGATCTCCAGCCCTCACCTGTACATTGGCAACAAATGTTCCCCAGGAGGAAATGGCTGGTTTGGAGGGTGGAGTCTATGGCATTGTATCTGTCTGAGGTTCCACCCCTCTCAAGCCCCACTCTCTCCAGGCTCCACCCCTCAAATCTCCAGGAATTAGCAACCCTATCTCCTTCCTAGCCAACCATAAACGTATTGTTATCTGCCCCTCTGACTTCAGCTTTCTATCTCCTCCCCCCTCCCTGCAGCCTAGGAAAAGTACAGTCTCCACAGTGGGGACCAAAGCAGCTCACATAATTCTACTCTCCCCCTTTTCATCTGCACAACAACCCTGTGAGGTAGGTTAGGCTGGAAGTCTGTGACTGGTCCAAAATCACCCACTCAGCTTCCACAGCAAAAACCTGGGTCTAGCAGACCCTGCTCTGAAGTGCTAACTGCTGCACCACTCTGACTCTCCTAGGGAGGGTGGACTCTATGACATTCTGTTCAGCTGAGGCCTTTCCCCTCCCCAAGCTCTGGCTTCAGTAGACTCCATCACAAAGTCTCCAGGAATTTCCCAACCGGGAGCTTGCAACCCTAGTCAAGCCTGGCTCCAATGAGTTCCCCACAAAGGCCAAAGTAGGCCTGGAAAGGCCTCCTGCCCCTGCCTTTTTACTGACAGAACCAAACTTGGTTGCCTAGCAACAGCCACTGAGGGGAAAGTGAGCTCCACAGCAGTTTTGCTAGTTTATTCAGACAGGGAATGGCCAAGTCGTCAGTGGACGAGGAAGAGGAGAGGAGCCAGCACCCAGCCAATGGCATGCAAGTACTCTTGAGTCATGGTTGACAGCCCAATGGCTGTTGGAGTGCATAGCACAGCCAATGGGAGAGACAGAAAGTGCCAATACACTAGGGGGTTTGATATATATATAGCGTTGCCTCTCTGAGGGTTTTATATAGAGAGAGTTGCTGTGATTTACACATACATTGACATCCATTGCTCCAGGAAACAGTATAAGGGCCAAGAATGCAGCACTGAAGAGTTAAAATATTTATGTAAAGCCTTTACTTCCTACTTTTCTAATACAAATAATGCTCAAGATGGCTTACCAAATCAAGCAACGACTGCTGTTTGGCACGTACATCAGGGGTGGATCACTGGGGGAGAACTTTCCTTTCCTTTGTTCTCTGCCTCAGAACACTTAGAACTTGCATGCATGTTAGCAAGCAAACAAGCAAGATGGAGACTAGTTAGGATGTTGCTATTTTCTTCCATGTAACCTTTCCCTAATTTTTTCTAGTAAACTTTCTTTTTCCTATAAGCTAAACACACACACGTCTGTGTCTGCTTTATTTCCCGCTGTGCGACATTGCTGGGCTAAAAGGATCCAACAGGTTCCCCTGGGGGAAATGGAAGCTTTGAAGGGCGGACTCTATTGCATGGCATCCCTGCTGAGCTCCCTCCCCTTCCCAAACAATTGCTTAAAAATTGCAACACGTGAAATTAAGCAAAACAGCCATATAAGATAAATTCTAAAACAGCCTACAGCGGCAGACAAAAGCAGCAGCCAGCAGTAATAAAACATTCTAACAGATAAACCATTTAGCACCACACACACAAAACACCCAATAAGCATTCATAATAACAAAAACAGCAGTAACAATCTGAGGAAGTCATTAATGCAGAATACAAGAGTCTCAAACCAGAAAGTCTTGACAAGAACGATGGAAGGCCCTCCACTGCATCCCAGCAGAGGAGAAGAAGAAGAAGAAGAAGAAGAAGCAGCAGCAGGAGGAGGAGGAGGAGGAGATTGGATTTATACCCCACCCTTCACTATTTGAAGGAGTCCCAGGGGCCAATACACTAGGGTGTTTTATATATATATAGGGTTGCTGTGATTTACACATACATTGACATCCATTGCTCCAGGAAACAGTATAAGGGCCAAGAATGCAGCACTGAAGAGTTAAAATATTTATGTAAAGCCTTTACTTCCTACTTTTCTAATACAAATAATGCTCAAGATGGCTTACCAAATCAAGCAACGACTGCTGTTTGGCACGTACATCAGGGGTGGATCACTGGGGGAGAACTTTCCTTTCCTTTGTTCTCTGCCTCAGAACACTTAGAACTTGCATGCATGTTAGCAAGCAAACAAGCAAGATGGAGACTAGTTAGGATGTTGCTATTTTCTTCCATGTAACCTTTCCCTAATTTTTTCTAGTAAACTTTCTTTTTCCTATAAGCTAAACACACACACGTCTGTGTCTGCTTTATTTCCCGCTGTGCGACATTGCTGGGCTAAAAGGATCCAACAGGTTCCCCTGGGGGAAATGGAAGCTTTGAAGGGCGGACTCTATTGCATGGCATCCCTGCTGAGCTCCCTCCCCTTCCCAAACTCCAACCTTCCCAGGCTCAGCGCCACAAATCTCCAGGAATTTCTCACATTGGAGTTGGCAACCCTAACACAAAGCATCCTGCTGTTCTTTGACAGAAGGCCCATGTAGAGTGCAGGATGGTAATCCAATGTGCCCAAGTTACCTATGGCTCAGCCAGTCCTTCCAAAGAATGGACTGCAGCTAGTAAGCTCACCTAAAGTTGGTAATATATAGACTCTGAGACTTAAATCATTCATTTGTAAAAAATGATCATTTCTGACGGTAGCCATGTTGGTTTGCGGTAGAACAACAAGATTCAAGTCCAGGAGCACCTCAGAGACCAACAAGATTTTCAGGGTATGAGCTTTTGAGTGTCAAAGCTCCCTTTGCCAGATATCATGTGCTGGTGGACTCAAATCTAGTTGTAGAAGAAGAAGAAGAAGAAGAAGAAGAAGAAGAAGAAGAAGAAGAAGAAGAAGAAGAAGAAGAAGAAGAAGAAGAAGAAGAAGAAGAA